CGTTGTATGACTGATGCTTGTCATTTAGGTTAGCTGTCGAATCGTGATATTCAATTCTCGGGTTATTTTACTACGATTTTTGAAAAATGACATCAATTTTGGAAAATCTACAAAATGCAACGTGTGTATGGTTTGAAATAGACAATAAACGGAATGTATTAGTGTCTATGTTCGCCGGAACTTTGGTAAACATCAAAGTTTACATTATCCCAAATAAAACTGATATAATACATAACAATATATTTTTTATTTAACTATACATAAATTACCAATTTACATTATTCGTTGTTCATTGATTAGTACATATCAATAGTTAGAATTTTAATTACTTTTTATTGTAATGTACACTATGAATAATGTAACATACAATAATCACTATGTTCTGTAATTCCAGTTTTTCGTAGGATGGTGGTTTATAATTGATGCTAATGCTAAATATCCTGGTGAAATGTCAAAGGCGTATCATGTATGTGGAGTATTTGGGACTATATCTTTATTCATGTAAGTTTATTGTATGATATTTCCTGGGATAGTGTATATAAAAATTAAGGCTCATAAATTTAGGATAAATTCTGTGACAAATGCACAAATGCGAGGTGATACCTTCAGTGGTGGTTATCTTGGGGCTAGAGGTGCGAGAGGTTGGTTATTTGTTGGATTTGTAATGGGATTTGCTGCTGTTATTGCAGCCTGTTGGATTTTATTTGCAGATTTTGTAGCTGCTGGTTTGTATATTATTTGTAATCTAATGTGTGTGTATCATTTTAATATTATTAATTTGTCATTTCAGGTGCACAGCATCATTGGCCTGGTGTAGGTCTCTTTTTACAAAATGTATTTATTTTTCTGGGATCTCTGATATATAAATTCGGTAGAACAGAAGAGTTATAAGTTACTCATATTTGTATATTATAAACATTTTTACATAATTGTGCAGAAGTTTCTAGCCCGACTGGATTTTAAGATGAAGCACTTTACAAAGAACAAATAATTATCCATATTGTATTGCGAATGAATTACATTAACTCATTGTAAAGTTGTATACTCTTTTTGTTTTTATTTATATAAATAGTTATTTCATGTTTATTAATCATTAATTATATCATTCATTGTTTCAAATTCAAATAATTACAAATGTGCATAATACAAGTTATATAATTATATAATATAGGTTGTTTAATAAAGCAACAACATTTTTGTTGTATTTTTTTTATTATAACATATACGAACATTGGTTTTGTTATAAATATTAATATAATTTATAATAAATTTTGCATTGCTGTAATACCAATTGATTTTTTAAATAAATTACCAATTTATTTTTTATTTATTTCTCCATGTTACAACTATGATTGCAATTAAAAGATAGTAATTAGAAGTGAAGTTAAATATTAAGAAAAATATCAAAATTCTTTTTTGACTCTTTAAAATTAGATATATTATAACAGTGGGGGACAAATAAGGGATATTGGTTTTGATTTGCCAACGCGGACCAATATGAACGTTTTCTTCCATCTTATTTTACCAATCCCGTTGTGCCACACAAACACATGGTTCTTGTTCAGTTTGACGAAACAGCAAGAAGTATACGTTATTTTTCTTGTTTTAAACGAATTGAAACGTACGCATACTTATGTCTAATGGTTTGAAGATTATAGTACTTTTGTCGTCAGACTAATATTCTTAGAATAAAAAGAAAAAGTGAGTAACGTCGTTTAGGATTTTTTGATTAGCATAACCAAGTTTGACAGTCTTAATGAAAATTCTCGTGCAATCGAAGGAATTATTTTTTGCACGACTTCCACGCTGTTTTTTGTGAATGAACATCAATTTTTGAAGAAATTTTACATAGATATTTATTTTTACTCATAAAATTTATGATATAATTTCGTGTTATCATTGTAATATCACATTTCTTTGTAATGTGTCCAAATCGTCTTTGAAACATATCTTTTTATTTAAAATAAATGTGAAATATTTAAGCAACAATATTTGATGAATTAAAACATGTAAATATTTTCTTAAAAATTAATTTTAAACATATTGCGAATTGTGAACTTATGTATATAACAATACAAAGTTTTATATATGTATTTTTATCTGTTCTAAATTATAGATGGAACTAAGTAAACTAAGTATGTTCATTATTTGGTTACTATTGATTACTATTGCATCTTTTATTGGCCTTAGTAATGGGGTCGCTGTTATGAGTATTGATATGGGCAGTGAATCAATGAAAGTTGCTATTGTTTCGGTAAGTAAATTTTATTAATGCATATCATTAAACTTTCAATAAGTTTTATTATTTATCGTATCATTGACATTATTAATTAATGATTTATATAGCCTGGTGTTCCTATGGAAATAGTTTTAAATAAAGAATCAAAGAGGAAAACGCCAGTGACAATTGCATTTAGAAATGGAGAAAGAAGTTTTGGAGAAGATGCTCAAGTAGTGGGAATTAGATCACCCCAAAATAGTTTTTCTTATATTCTAGATCTGTTAGGAAAAAGTATAGATAATCCTATGGTAGAGCTTTATAAGAGAAGATTTCCATATTATGATATCATATCTGATGAAAAACGTAAAACAATTGCATTTAGATTGGATAGAAATATCACGTATACACCAGAGGAATTGCTTGCACAAATTTTGCATAAAGGAAAAGAATTTGCTGAAAATTCAGCTGGCCAAAAGATCAGTGAAGCAGTAATAACCGTTCCAGGATTTTTTAATCAAATTGAACGAAGAGTTCTTATGCAAGCAGCTGATCTTGCAGGGATTAAAGTTTTGCAACTTATTAATGATTATGCCGCAATTGCATTAAATTATGGAATTTTTCGTAGTAAAGAAATAAATGATACTGCACATTATGTAATGTTTTATGATATGGGAGCTAGTAGTACAACTGCAACAATTGTCAGTTATCAAAATGTAAAAACGAAGGAAAAGGGATTCGTTGAAACTAATCCTCATGTTACTATTTTGGGTGTGGGTTATGATCGTACTTTAGGAGGACTTGAAGTGCAAATTAGATTACAACACCATTTGGCAAAAGAATTTGACACTCTAAATAAAACAACAAACTCTGTATTTAGCAATCCAAGAGCAATGGCAAAACTTTTTAAAGAAGCTGGCCGTGTTAAGAATGTGTTGAGTGCAAATACTGACCATTTTGCTCAAATTGAAGGATTAATAGAAGAACATGACTTTAGATTGCAAGTTACCAGAGAAAAATTAGAACAACTTTGTGCTGACTTATTTGAACGAGTAACAAGTCCTATTAAAATTGCTTTAAAAACATCAGGTATATTGAAATACATTAATAAATAAGACATCAGGTATATTGAAATAAATTAAATTAAAGTGTTTATTGTATTATCATAAATTAATATAAATCTTATAGGTTTAACAATGGATGTTATATCTCAAGTTGTATTGGTTGGAGCTGCTACTAGAATGCCAAAAATACAAGAGCATCTAAATCAGTATTTAACAGTTGAGTTATCTAAAAACATCAACACAGATGAGGCAGCTGCATTAGGAGCAGTATATAAAGCTGCAGATCTTAGTAAAGGATTTAAAGTAAAAAAATTTGTTATTAAAGATGCTGTATTGTTTCCCATACACATTGTTTTTGATAGAACAGTTGATAACAGAGTGAAACAAGTAAGTTACTATTTTTTTAATTTTTATTAAAGCTAAATATATTATTTAAATGTATATAATACTTTTAGGTCAAGAAATCATTATTTAGTAAAATGAATCCTTATCCACAAAAGAAAATTATTACGTTTAATAAGTACACAGAAAATTTCCAGTTTCATATTAATTATGCTGAATTAGATTACTTACCACCTAATGAAATAGCGTATGTATATTTAATAGTTCTTGCTTAAAGTATGTTAATAATTATGTTTATTATATAGTCTTTTAATTTTAGTGTCATTGGTAATTTCAATTTGTCTACTATAACTTTATCTGGTATAAATGAAGCCTTAGAAAAACATGCTAAAGATGGAGCAGAAAGTAAAGGAATTAAAGCGCATTTTGCTATGGATGAGAGTGGCATACTTAATTTGGTGAATGTAGAATTAGTATCAGAAAAATCAAGTTCAATTTCTGATGAAGAAGAGGGTACTTTCTCAATACTTGGCTCAACTATTAGTAAACTTTTTGCAGGTTTGTGCAGAATGCATTGCAAAAAATGATATACTCTTTTTTCCCTTTTTTTTAAAATAAATGTGAAGAATGTAGTGAAGAAAATATTAAATCATTAGAAAAACTTTTTTTTAAATATAGAGCCATTTTTTGCAAGCATTTATAAAATATTAGATGATATGAAAGAAAGTTAAAACACTTGTAATAAGTGTAATTTGTTAAATGCATTGCAATTTTTTAAAAGATCATGTAAAAATGTAATTACATTTGACATAACTTTCTTGTAAATATAATTGAAATATTGAGATAGATACAATAAAAAAAATGTAGGGTCAGAGGATAAAGAAGAAAAAACGGAGGAATCATTAAAAGAAGATATAAAGCCAGTTAATGAAGAACCTGAATATCATCCTGATTTACAAAAGGAACCAGAAGATAAAACAAAAAAGAAAAATGAAAGCACGATTACTGAGGATAAAACAATAAATAAAACTGAGAAAGTAAATAAAGAGAAAGAAAAAAAGGCTACGGTTGTTATGATTAAAGAACCTATTAAAGCTGATGAAATCAAGTTAGGATCACAGATTCTTTCTGGAGATAAATTTGTTGAATCTCAAGAGAAGTAATATAACTACATATTGAATAATAATTTTATGTAAAATATTCACTATATATTTTAATTTGAATGTTATATGATTATTTTAGATTGCATCGTTTAGACGTATATGATTTTGAGAAAGTAAAACGTGAAACAGCTTTAAATAATTTAGAAACATTTATAATTGATGCTCAACAAAAATTAGAATCTGAAGAATATGCCGTCGCTGCTACTTCTCAAGAAGCGGAAAATATATTGAAAGCATGTTCTGAAATTTCTGAGTGGCTATATGAAGATGGATTTAGTGTAACTGCTGAAGTTTATGAGGACAAATTGTCACAACTTCAGAAACTTACTAATGATGTATATGAACGTGTGTTTGAACATAGAGAACGCCCGGAAGTCTTAAAAGGCATGACTTCTATGTTAAATGCAAGCACAACATTTTTGCATAATATGCGCAATTTGAGCTTATCAAGCGAAATCTTTACCCAAGTAGAGATAGAAATGTTAGAGAAAGTAATTAATGAAACTCAGGTAAGTTATGTACTTATATTTTATTATAAATATATTAAATAATTAATTGTATATAATTACCATTTATAGGAATATCATGACACAGTTGTCAAATCTTTTGCTGAGACAGCTTTACACGAATCAGTGAAATATAAAGTTCGTGATATTGCAAATAAAATGGCATTGCTTGATAGAGAAATGAAGTATCTTATAAATAAGGCAAAGATATGGCGACCAAAGCAAGACTCTGTTACAAATCATACAGAGAGTACAAATGAGAATACAACAAACACAAAAGAAGGATCGGAATCGCAATCTGTTCCTAAATCGGCAACTGATTCTCAAACGGAAAACCTTCAGAACGAAGATATATCTGAAAATGTAAAAGTACAAAATGAAAAATCATTAGATTCAGAAGAATCAACAGATTCATCAAAGGATGACGAATCTGAGACGACTCATGAAAATATTCAAAAAGGAATACATCAAGAACTTTAAAAAAAAATTTATTTAAAAGTGCGTGACTTTCATTATTGACCGATTACGTCTCGGTTAATAAATTAGATAATTTATCATATTATAGGGCAGGTTTATGAGTGCATTTAAAAACCAAAATCAAATTCGAGAAATTATGTGTTATTGTGGCTGGATGAAATATTTTGCAAATGTGAATACTAAGTGTTATTTTATTTAATTTCGTATATTTGTATAAAATTAATACAGATATTAATAATCCATTTTTCGTACAAAAGGAAATAGATTTATCTTATAACGTTTTGCACATAAGTTACAAGAAAGAAAAGCCGACCATTACATAAAAAAATCATATAAGAAATTTTAAGTGCCAAGCAGTAACAAATTTGAATAATAATTTTATGATTTTAAACGATTACTGTCAAAAAACACTACATTTACTACATTTAAACAAATAAATTACCAGTATAAAGTCATTATTTACAAATGACGTATTGTTTTATTTGGTCGGACTTCGTCTACTGTGAATATATTTAATTGTGATACTTGATACTATATTCTTAGATATGCTATATCCTATAGCTTAAAACTGATTTTCTACAAACATCTATATCAAGCATTATAATTACACATGCATACATATGGAACAACTTCTTTACTAAAAAAATTCAGTTTTGTTTTTATGCATTTTTTCTTACATTCCTGATTAATTAATCCTCGCTTGAAAATGCCTAAATTTCACAACACTTTATATGCTCCGTTACATCTATAATATAATTTTTTTTATAACGCAACAAGTATATATTTATTTTTGTTATAATCAAATTTGTGCAATTTGCTAAATGTGAATTAAATTCAGTGAAGTAAAACTACATCTGAGAATGTTTATCTGTTTAAAGAAAGTTGCACTTTGCGTGTAAAATAATTTGCTTTTCTTTAAGAATTTGTTGTAAGTTGGTTAAAACCACTGAAAATGAATGTAATTATGATTAAAGTTTATAAATTATATTATTTATTATCTTAGCTGAATAAAGCAGCCTGTAGGATATAAATAAAGGAGGAGAAGAATATGTTACTTTCAGTTGGTACATTTTATGTTGAATTTGATAATTGTAAGAAAATACAGATACAAAAAGTCTTCCTACAATTATATGCAATGTCAAATAAGATTGTAATTATTTGTTTATTCTTACAATATTATCGAAACTATTTACTAACGTATGATTCATAATTTTTTAAAAATTTTTTTAATGTATTATAAAATTCAACATTTTAAATCTTATAAAGTTTAAGATATTTTCTGTATTCAAATAATTATTGTATTATACATAAAATGTAATAAGCCTTACATCATTTAATACTTACAACAATTACAATAAAAAGCTATGAAATATCTTAATTAGATTATTTTCACTGTCTTAAGAAATACTAGGATTTTTTTCGAATCATATTTTTAAAATTTGAAAATTGTGGTTTCATTTGATTTCGCATTACGTCGCTAGATCATTCTACAGTCGCAAGAAAATATATAGATAGCTTAGAAATATAAATATAAGTTGCTCTGGCATTAACTTCTATCTATTTTATGAATTTTTATGCATATAAGAATAAAATATGTTACAATTTTAAATATGCGAACCAAAAATTAACTTTTCATAACATATTAATTATTTAATTCGCGTTATTCAGAATAACCACATACCCTTATAACATAACCTTGTCTTTAATGGTTTCATAAAAACGAACGTATATTTCTTAAATATCATGTCGTTGCGTCAATTTTTTCAAACATTATTGAAGAGAGCTGGCCCCATTATGGTAAAATTTTGAAAGTTCTAATTTCTTTTTGTATTTTGTCTTAATACTTTTTTTTTCTTTTTAGTACGCTACAAGTTTTACATTTGTAAATCAACCAGAAACTAATAAACCTACAGCAAATGATAAATTACAATTTGAACCTGTTGATGTAAAAAAGTTGACTCCTGAATATATGATACAACAATCAACCATAGATGCTGTTAACAGCGCAACTCAATCGTTAACTATTGCATGTACAACAATAATGAAAACAAGTGATGAATACAAGTATGTAAATTTTTGTCTAAAATTAAGAGGATTAATTAAGTTTCTGTTAATAATGTGATAAAAATATTTTACAGGGTATTGTTAAATGAATTAATTACACTTTCAAGGGAAACTCTGGAATTTAATGTTACTGATTCACATTGGGATATGATAGTTGAACTAAGATCACAAGTACAAAGTAAAAAAGAAATGTTAACTGTAAGAAGAAATAGAATAAACTTATATTGACATATTAGATTTATTAAAAAATATATGTTTTTGCAGAAGTTAACAGGATATGTTGAGTATGTTCACAAAATGGCAGTAGCTGCTTCAGAATTAAGTTATTTGTCTGGAATGGACAACTTGTCTTTCACTCTTACTAAGAGAATAGATGATGCATTAAAAATTATAAAGGAAGAGGTTAATCATATTATGTTACTTGAACAAGAATACTGTGATGTACAAAAGGAATGTATAGAAAATTGTAAGTATAATGAAATTAATAATACTATTAGATGAACTGATTCCTTTTAATTTTATTATATTCTCTTTACAGCCAATAAAGTGATAAGTAACGAATCTGCAGACGAAAAATCAAATGAGCCTACTTAGTTTGATTTTTTGGTTTACAGTTTACAGTTTAAAACTATATGTTTAAAATTTATGTTTAAGTTTTTGTACAATAAGTAGAAACATGTTGAAAATAAAATTATATACACATATTATTGAATGTTTTAAGCTTATTTGCATCATGGAGTATATATTTCTAGAAATATAGATGTAATAAGAATCTATAATATATAATTTAAAAAAAATGGAGGACAATAAATTCTGTATAACTAATTTCAAATGAAGCAAACATAATGGCTCAAGCATCAAGATGTATTGTTACAATATGTCTACCGGGTATCATTACTAAACCTAGAGTTCTTGCTTCTGTATGATCTTCAGACAAAAATTCTGAACATGATCCTAAAATCACATTAGCATCACGATCAGTACATAAGAATGCACCTATCAGAACACGGCCATCTGTCATTTTTATTCTTAAGTTTCGATTTAGCCATCCACGTAATTTCTGCTTTGCTGGAGATTCCTCTGTATTAGCAGCCTATTATAAGTGTATAAATAAATTTATGCCAACAATATATACATATTACTAAACAATGAAACATTATTGTCACTTAGAGTTAGAAAGTGAAATATTTCTTTGATAAACAAAAACATAACCTCTTGTATAAGACATATTTTCAGTCATACAACAAAACTATAATAATAATGATTCCAAAATATTATACAAAATATACAATGATGAAATTACCTCTCCATTTTCATGAATATAATCATCATTTGTTATGTTAGATGCGTTGTGACCTTCTTTCATGTCTGCTTTCTTGTTTATTTAGATGTTTCAAGTGAAGGGATATTAATTTAATTTGTCAATATATATACACTTTTCATAAAACTTTTTTTTTTAAGCAGAATGAAATGCGTTTTTATATTTCTGCAAATTTTAGAAATACATTTACATCTCAAATTTGTTAGAAATTTCACAATGTAAACAATTCACTTCAAACCACAAAGGGAGTACAAGCATTAACTAAGGACAGAGTAGACATGGTATTATATAAAATTTTCTTCTTTATGGTAAAAATTAATCTGAATACCACAGACGAAGTATATGAATAGACTTCAATACAATTTTTTGTATGATTTCGGGGTCTTAAGACCCCATTACCATTTTCATGTCACATCCTGTCATACCGATTTAGTTTTGCACTACTAGTGATGAGAATTAAAATCAAAAAATATGGACAGTGTTGTCATCTCTGCTTCGAGAGTTATTAATTGAACGTAGTTATACTTTATCAATGAAAGAATATAACGATTTAAAACAACGATTAATGGAAATTAGGATGAAAAATTTATTACATATTTGATTATTTACATCTATTTAAAGGTATTTAAAAGAAACAATTTGTATAAAAAATTGACTGAAATATATTTTTTAACAATATAATTAAATATGAATTGGATATCATGTTTTTTACTTATTTTAGTGTGTAACTTCAGAGTTTGAGTGAATTCTGCAAACTCGATTTTATAAAAGCTTGGAAATATCAAAAAAATGTTCCCACAAATATTGTTTGGTATATATATTTGATTTCACAAATAAAGTTATATTGTGTGGTGTAAATTATTTTTTGCAGATCGTTCGTTCTCGAAATTTTGAAATCATTTGTTAAGACGAATTCAATGACTTGCATACGAGGTCGTTTGTTGTTATAATTTGTTAAAAATTAATGAATTGTTTAAAGCTCATTTTAAACAGTTAGTTTTAAGGGCTCACTATAAAAGGAAGATTTTCAAGATCATGATTGATCTGATTATGAAAAAGTTATTCAGTGGTGGAAAAACTTCTCTTCGGCGAGATGTTTGAATTTTTTCAGTTCTCGAGAAGAAAAATATTTTTATTCCAAGTTATCATTTCGTACGCGCCCCAAAGGTAGGCAATACACTTCCTACGATTCTCGAACGTAATCGATATTTCTCATGATCGATTTTTAATGGCGGAGAGAAGCACACCTCATCTATAAAAAAGGAAGTGTCATCCAGAAGTTCTTAGGTAAAAATTTAAATCAATAGCTATTAGATTTGTATTTTTGTTGTGTATTTTTAAATTATAACTTGTATTTTTAGTAATTCATCGAGATCTACTGTATAATTTTTAATCCCCTATAGTAAGATTTACCCAAATTATTACATATAATTTTCAAGAATTAAAGAAATAATAGCATATAAACATTTAAACAGAACATACCATGCTAAAAGTTATTTATAATTTTACACCAAAATTTAATTTCAGTTCTAACAGTACAAATATTGTGACCTTGTAATATATATAATATGCTTTTATTTTTATTGTAACATTTTCTACTCATTTGTTGATTTTTTAACTTCATTACGTAATTCTTAACAATTTCAATACTAAATTCAACAATAATTTATTAGAAATATATGTAGTCATTTAATAGTCAAAATAATAATTTTACTACATAATATAGTAAAATGTTTCAGTTTAAAGTATTGACAATTTTTTATCAGATGTGTGAATATTTTCGTCCTTTTTTAAGAATTTCTCATAAATTTTGTGTATTTGATTCAGGCCAGAGTTTTTTATTTTTTATTCCAAGTTATTTCATATGAAATGCGCGCGTATTGGGTTTAAATTAGTTGAAGATTACAGCGCCACTACCCGGTGAAATAAGCAATACACTTCCTACGATTCTTGAACGTAATCGATATTTTTCATGATCGATTTTTAAGCGGGAGAGCAGAACTTTAATGGCGGAAGGAAGCACACCTCATCTGTAAAAAAGAAAGTGTCATCCAGAAAAATCATTCAGAAAGAAGTGTTATCCAAAAGTTCTCAGGTAAAAATTTAGATCAGTAGCTATTAAATATGTGTTTGTGTTGTGTATTTTTGAATTAAAACATTTTCAATAAAAATTTGAATTAAAACTTACGGCTTCATCGAAATCTGGTAGATTACCGAAAAAGTGTATAATTTTTAATCTTTCAAAGTAAGATTTAACTAACAAGATTTAATAACAATTACACATGATTTTCAAATAGAATATTTTAAATAGAACATATTATGCTAAAAGTTATTTATAATTTTATATCAAAATTTAATTTCAATTCTAATCAGTAGAAATATTATAACCTTGTAATTGATTAATTCATTGTTTTATATATATATATATATATATATATATATATACACGTATTTTATTATAAGTTTTTATACACACTTCTATTATTGATACTTTAACTTCATATTGTGTAATTCTTAACAATTCTAATAATTGTATTAACAATAATTTATTAAGAATATTGTACGTATTTAATAATTAAAATAATAATTTTACTGCATAATATAATGAAATTGTCTCAAATAAAGTAAAACGTAGATCTTGAAACTCGAAATTCGAAGTAAAACACAACAACACGAACGCACTGTTTATGTTCATTTAATTATCGTGCTTGTTCCGACAGGATTATCCCATCCCTTACTACTTTCTCAATTGAAGGACGAGACGTGTCGTGGGGAATCATTCGGCTGTGGAATTTCGTGACAGCAACACGTATCACGTCGCATTAGGTTCGTAACTTTTTCTAATCTATCGATAGCGTCCCTTCGATGGCATCGCTTCTTTGATACTTTTTTACTTTCATTTATATCTCATTAGTAGTATCATTTAATCAGTACGCGTGTTTAACGATTAATTGAGCATTACGACAACGAAATCGCCTGATGCTTTGAAACTTTTTGCACCAATTTTTCTTCAATCGTCGATTTCACTCTTACGGTTATCGGTACCTATTTTTTATCTCTCGTTTAGTAGACTTTAAAGTTTATTACTGTTTCACTTTTATATGTTTGCCTTCATTTGACATATTTTTTCTAACTTTTGGTTTCTTTTTGTGCAGGTTATTCCTTGGTTGCAAAGGTAGCATAGATGCCACGATCATTAATGAACAATCTGATGAACTTTCATGGAAAGTTGGTAACATTTTGTTCATTCTAAGTAACATTTGCTATATAATTTATATATATTTTAAATTCACAATACGTAATTTCGTAATTACGTGGATTACAAGAATGAAAATAGAAAAGATTAAATCAATTTTTTATTTCGAATATGAAGATCGTAGCTTAATGGTATATATTTTCAAATGGATGTATGTTCTTATATTAGATTGTCAAATTCAAAGTTTTCGTACTTTACTATACCATATTTTGCTACGGTATACTTTTTCCGAACGTTGACGCGCAATTAAATGATTCAGAGCAAGGTTTCATACGCGTATGATTTTTTAAATACATTTAGCTGTGAAATTTTGATTTGTGCAAATATTTTCGAATATTTATAATACACGACATGATATATTACTAATGTGTACATCACTTTAATAACGAACATTCAAAATACAATTTCTATAAATATATCTGCAAATGTTGAAAAATATTTTATAATTTCCAACTAATATTTTTAATGCACACTCAAGCTTAAAATCATTTTCTAGAAAAATAGCAGTATTTTCTAAATGAACATAGTCTTTGCCCTTTTCCTTCTAATCAGCTTTATTTCCAGAAAATTTTTACTTAACCGCGCGCAATGCGGTTGGTAGAGTCAGTGTTTGTTGCGCAATATTTTAATATTTTTTTGAGCAAAATGGCTCTCATTAAATTAGATTATTAATTCATTTAAATTATAATTCGCGAAGTTAGAATCAGTGAGTCCGCCGATTGTTAACACGTGCGTTGATAGTCTTTTATTTTTCTTTTTTTATATTTTTTCTTATTCAATATTTGTTGTCGGTATATTAGAGTCAGTGCTCAAGAGGATAAGGCCTTTCCAGGAGATAAAGATCGTAAGTAATTTTACACATTGTACTTCAATTTATTCAATTTTTCAAATTTGATAACAAAGTATAATGCTTGATGTTTTGTTACAGACGCTTCACAGCATCAACTTTTTGGTATATTTTGGGAAAATCCAACGGTGGCTCCAAAGCCAAAAATGTAAAATTTTGCTTAAGATTTTGCTCCAACTTAAGATTTTGCTTTGCTTTTAAACATTCTAATGCTTAGTGTTTTGTTACAGATTTTCTACAATCTTTACTTCTCCTAATCTTTTAAGGATCTTATGATGCTTCAAAAGCTAAAAACGTAAGTACTTTGGCATGTTGCATTTGAATTCTATTGTCTATAGTACTCTTTCTATTGAAGTCGAATGTAAAATTATAATTATAAATTAAAACACTTCAAATTATTAGTCCCAATTTTTATTATTATTAAAATTCAAATTTTCACAAATAACACTGTCTCTTTAGAAACAAAATATTTTATGTTTTTCAGGAAATTTTTCACGGCGTTCACTTCCATCATGGGTATCTACTTGATGAAGGTCTTCACGATAACTTTTCCTGGTCTAGTGCAGTATCGATGATAACGTTCTTCACATCTGTCGCGTGAGTCGCATGCATTATGTTCCTCCGGTCACTCAATCATGTCGTAGGATGAAAGGTCCGAATCGGCACGAGTGACTGGTTGTATACGAGAATTCTTGATGAGCATAGTGACCACGGGTATTTTTTGTAAATAACCGTGTAACAACATTTTTTCAGATTTTTTTATGTATTAGATCAGGATAGGGCTTCTTGCACATCGTGATTTTAACAATTAGTTTGAACATATAGAGTTGTAGTAATTACTTGTAAAATGAAAATATATTCAATATAAATGTTTGCAAAAAAAAACTATTCATATGAATGTCCACATGAATAGATAAATTATAAATAATTATTATTAAAATAATTTCGTTTGAGCATTTCGTAATAAATATAAAGAATACCTTGCGATTTCATTGCTATGAAATATGCAGTTATTACTTACTGATACTGGTGATACGTTTTGATGTAATAATTAATAATTAATAATTGTTATAATATTTAATAATTCAATAATTCAATTTATAATTCAACTTCTTTTTTTATAATAGTATTAAATGATTTAATTAATTAAACTTTA